CCCGCTTCTTCATCTCCTGGGTCTGGGTATGGATATTCCCCACAACGATCGCCACCGTTGCGTCGGCGACCAACTGAGATCGCGCACAAGAACCAGTTAGAAAACGAACATTTGGGACGGGAACCGGCGGACGCACAGCATCGGACTCGGACGAGATGTGGACGAGGTCGCGCGAGATCTCAAAGGACGACGTGACGCCCTCGGCGTTGGAGAGGCGCGTGAAGGAGCCGTAGCCGCCGAAGGTCATCGGGTTGACCACCACCTCCTTGCCGTCGACGATGTCAAAGTGCGTGGGCGGCGCGTTGATGACGGCGATGAGCTCCGGCACGCTCTCGAAGCGCACCTTGATCGACTGGCCCACGCGGTAGCCCAGGCCATACAGGTTGCCCACGCTCAGCGCCATGTTGTTGACCGTGCCGGCCTCCACCTCCTCGCCCCGCTGGTAGGCCGGTCCCGCGTAGCAGTGCCGTCCTGCGTTTATCGTTATGTGTGCGTGTGTGTGTGTGTGTGTGTGTCGTGTGTGTGTGCGTGTGTGTGGTGTGTGTGGTGTGTGTGTGTGTGTGTGTGTGTGTGTGTGTGTGTGTGTGTGTGTGTGTGTGTGTCGTGTGTGTGGTGTGTGTGTTTGCGTGTCAATTTTTCTCAAATATCTGCCGTGGATGAGAGAGAGAGAGAGAGAGAGAGAGAGCGAAGGTAAGCTCAACGAACCGTTGAGAAGGAATGGTCGATCGGGGTCGGGCTGCGCCGTGAGGCTGGTCAGCATGACCTTGTGCACCTCCGAGGCCATCGTGGCGAGTACTCAAACGCCACCAGCAGCTCGTTGGCGTAGCTGTCGTCCACGTTGCCTGATTCATTAACCCTCGTTATCATCGCTGGCGGGCGGGAGCAGACCAGCAGGCAGGCCTCACGACCAAAGAGCAAAGAGCAAAGAAAGAGAGAGTACCAATGGCAAGCTTGATCTCGGGACTCCTCGTGGTCGTCATCTCCACCGACTCCGTCGCCTTCTTTGAATCGCCGCTGCTCGCCAGAACCGCGGCGGTTGACTCCGGGACCGTGGGTCCGCTGGGCAACACAAAAGCAAAGCTGCCCACCAGCTCGAGACACTCCAGTCGGAAGCACGTCGCGCTGTCCACGCGGAACACGTCGGCTTGGCTGCCACTGCCCGCCGTCGCGCTGGTGAACGCCACCACGATCTCGTCGTCGCCGTCGTTGTTCATGTCGCCCGACACCATCCGCAAGCTGTGTGCCACATGTGTGTGTGTGTGTGTGTGCCGTGTGCCGTGTGTCGTGTTGCGCGTGTAGCGAGTGTGACATCAGCGACGACGGCCTTGTGGTGGTGGTGGTCGTGGAGGATGGTGGGTGGGGGTGGATGGGCGTACTTGTATTGGGCAGTGTCCCACCAGGGCGCCTCGGCGATGAGCAGCGTCTTCTGGAGCGTCATGGGCAAGGCCACCGTGAGCTGGTCGATGGCGTAGAGGTAGAGCGTGACCTCGTTGTCGTCGACGATGCCCAGCGCCAGCTCGGCCAGGCCCGAGCCCTCGTAGTCGCCCAGATTGACCGCCACGGCGTGCGGCTGCCGCAGCGAGATCAGCGAGTGCGGCACCTCCGACACCATGGCCGCCGATGACTGCGACGTCTGCCGGAAGAGCGCCCACGAGACCGTGCTCCGATCGACCATCCACGCCACCGCCAGCTATCGAGTAAGTAACCCGGGTTGTGTGTAATGTGGTCGTTGTTAGTGGCCGTTGGTCGCGTGCCGTGAGAAGTGGGAGAATCAACCAGCCCAGAGCGCGGCGAGCGCGGCGGCGGGGCTGGAGTGGGTGGGAGTGGGTGGGGGGTCGTACCATGGAGGGCAGTAGCGTTGACCTTGGCTGCGGCCAGCGAG